ATTTTTTCCTTCATTTCAGGTGTTGCAGACAAGATTTCATTGTGGTGAGATGTGGCTTCAGGTTGGGCTTCAGATATACTCTCAGGAGCATTTGGTGCGTGTGATAATTTACGCTTCTTTGAGGGAAGGCCTGATTTCTGTTTCTTTTGTGGAGCTGATTTGTCTTTCTTCTTTATTGTTGAAATAAACTTTTGAATAAGAATACGATGGCCCAGAGTGAACTCAAACGGCATTGCTGTCATGTCATGCTTCTTGTTCAGATCTTGTCTCAGGCAGAAAGGTAATGATTTTTTCCATTTGTCAACATATTGCTCGATTTCATTTATAGTCTTGTCATTCATCTCAATTATAGCTTCTTTTGTATCAAAACCTGTAACCTCAAAGCAGTTGCATATATATTCAAGCAGCATTTGTTTCATCTCATGGATGATGTCTTCCTCTGAGTTTTCTATGTTCTTTTCTGTACTGTATATGGGGCAGTTTATAATTTTTAAAGTGAGTGCTATTACTAGTTACCTGTTCATTTCTGCCATGCATTAATAGGTATCAAGGAGTATCAATTGAAGTACAAATCAAGAGCTCGACAGTTTGGATTCACCTCTAGTTTGGAATCAAATGGAAGAAGATAAAGCTGTTGAATTTAATATGTTACTGCTAGCTATTAATATTGCATAAACATACCAGTTTTAATTTAGCTTAAATTATAGTAGTTTTTCAATTGAAATCTGTCTTGCTGTGCTGCTTGCTTGCATAGTTGGATTAGTTTCTTCCTGCTAGTCGAGTCTACCGCAGGACCCCTCGCAGGATTTGCCGAGTGAATTTAATCATCATTTTTTATACTCGTCCAAAATGAGCTAGTACATGATGTAACTCAGCTAGGCCTTGCCAAGGAGGCAACTGTCAGAGTGGCCAGGAGAATAGAAGTCTAGGCTGTGATCAACTGCAACACTTTTCGAGCTTTCCCCCTCACACTCGCCCTCACAACTGGCGAATACTTCAGTTCAGACCAGACGAATACCGGAATACGGAAAAATACGGGACAATGCATTCTTTCCACGTGTCTGTCTGGTGTTGGGTAGATCATTGACTCCTGAGTGTCCTTCTTCTCCTCCATATCCTTCTAAACCATTCACCTGAGGCTAAATCCTTTGGCTCTTGTGAAGAAGGTAATACAAGGTCCTAACTCAGGTTGCTGTGCTTTTTGGCTGGCCATGTGCTCTGACTCTGCCCACTTGTTTGTCTCAGTATTTTTAGATTTTGCCTTGTCTACAATGTCTTTGTGAAGCAGGGTCTGTTACAATAGTATGATAGTAAGTACCTTAAGGAGACAATTATTAGTGTGTACTTATTTCAGCAATTTTCATGAAACTGACATTTGGCTGGTACTTAATTTAGCGTTTTTGATCATTTGGTATTAATAACTTTTAGAAGAATGAAAGGGGCAAGCCTAAGCAAGCTACAGATTATGTGCTGTGATCTACATGTATGAGCAAGCAAAGCAATTGCATAAGTCTAAATACACTAATACAGTAGATTTTGTTGCATTAATCTTGCTTAAATTGCTTCGTCACTGACTCTGCAGCCATTAACATGTAAAGTTATCTTGCTTACACTTAGAACTTAGAAGCAGTCACTGAACAAAGAAGATTGTCATCTGCTTTGTTAACCTAGGTTAACTGCTAGAGAAGTCTTTGGACGGCAGTTTAGTATTATCTTGCTGACCGTTTGCTGCAAATAAGCTCAGACTTACTGATGGCTGCCATTTTTTTCATTGTGACCACACCCACTTTGAATGAAGAAATTAAAATTAGCGCAGACTTAAGTTAGCGGTTTTTAAAAAATTGCTAAAATTCGCTAAATTAAATACCAGCAAACAATTGTCTCCTTAAGGTAATTATTTGGGGGTGTGCTTTTGATGCATAATAATAATAGTAATAATGATAATAGGAAGGGATTGGGGATTTCTGTTTACATGCTTATAGTTCAAGGGTTACCTTCTGCTTGCTTGCCTTGTCTAATGAATAGAATCCTTTGTGTAAAACACTGATAATGTTGGTATGTATATACCCTATTTGCTCGATTAAACGCCTGGGCATTTATTTCTTAACAGGACAAAATCAGGTAAAAAAAAAGCCTGTAGTGGATTCGAACCCGCGACCTTCAAGCCTTCCAAACTGCACTCCAACAGTTAGGCTATCTGGCACAATCTAAATGTTAAGGCACATATACTGGCTGAAAT